AAAAAAAAAAAAAAAAAAAAAAAAAAAAACTACATATACTAGAGAAAAAGAATCAAAAATAAATCTGTTTTGAAAGCACCACAAACTACCCAAACTAGAACCTAAGAGAAAATGGGAATCCAGGGAAGTAAGTGAGAACACTGGAACATTATAGCTACTTATACTCTGAAAGCATTTGTCAATTCTGACAAATGTGGGATTCTGTTTTGATGGTCTTATAAGGCAAGAGAAACAGAGGTAAACCTTTATCTGTCAAGGCAGAGTGTCAAATAGGAAACTCTCCTGGCATTAATGTAGACCACCACCCTACCCAAAGAAAATATACCTGCAATGGAGAGGGTAAACTAGAAATGAACACCTCTTTCTCCCAGCCTCCCCCCACTCAGGGAACCGCTGAGAAGACTGCTTTGGTGCTAAACAGAGAAAGGCAATATGAATACAGGGAAAGAACAGGTAATTAGTTTTGACCATGGGCCTGCACACTTGCTGAGGTTCATATGACCTAAGTGGCCCAGAGACTCTCAAAACATGAACTCAGAGACCCCCAGTTAATAATGGCCCCAAGCACCTAACGTAAGTAAATCCAAGTCCTGCCTAGAGAAAGGTGTCTTCGTCCTAAGTATCAAAGAATCCCCACTATGATGTTTCTAGAACAATGAGCAGTATCAAGTCAAAAATAACCAAGCAACTATGAGGGAGAACCAACAAAAACACCAGACAACAAAAACAGACTCACAATTTTTGTTATAGTGTAACTATCAAAGATTGCAAAACTACTATAATCTTTAAGAAATAAAAGACGGCCAGGTGTGGCTCACGCCTGTAATCCCAACACTTTGGGAGGCCAAGGCAGGCGGATCACCTGAGGTCAGGAGCTTGAGACCAGCCTGGTCAACACGTCAAAATCCAGTCTCTATTAAAAATACAAAAATTAGCTGGGCATGGTGGTAGGCGCCTATAATTCCAGCTACTTGGGAGGCTGAGGCAGGAGAAATCACTTGAATCCGGGAGCCGCAAGTTGCAGTGGGCCAAGTTCACACCACTGAACTCCAACCTGGGCGACAAAGCAAGACTCTGTCTCACAAAATAAATAAATAAATAAATATAAATAAATAAATAGACAATTCCAAAAATATCTGCAGGAAATAAAAAATATGTAAATAATAAACTAAAAGTTTAAAAAATACATTTAAAAAACAGAGCTTCTAAAAATTAAAAAATACAATTACTGAAACTGAAAATTCAACAGGTGAATGTATTTGCAAACATGAAGGTTTAATCATTAAAGGCCAGGTGCAAAGGCTTATGCCTGTAATCCCCGCACTTTTGGAGGCCCAAGCAGGCAAATCACTTGAGCCAGAAGTTTAAGACCAGACTGGGCAACATGGCAAAATCTCATCCCTACAAAAAATACAAAAATCAGCCAGGCATGGTGGCACACCCTGTAGTCCCAGCTATTACGGAGGCTGTGGTAGGAGAATTGCTTGAACTTTGGAGGCGGAGGTTGTAGTCAGCTGAGATTGCGCCATTCCACTCCACCTTGCCTCCAAAAAAAAAAAAAAAATAGATTTAATGAACTGAAAGAAAGGTCAGAAGAAATCTGGAGTGCAACACAGAGAAATAAACAACTGAAATACAGAATAGAAAGGCTTAAATGTAGCCTACAATTCATGGAAGTTACAGAGGGAGAAGAATGAGGGATTCATACATGGGATTCATGAGAGTACCAGAAGCACTAGTTTGAAGCAGAAGCCAAATACCTACAGACAATATCATAAAATACGAATCCACAAATTCAGTAAGCCAAACAGGATTAAATTTAAGACAATAATAATTCCAGAAAACAAACAAAATCTTAGAGCACACACAGTACCTCAAAAGGAATAGCATTTAAATAGATGACTTCTCAACACCAACAATATAAGCCAGAAAACAGCAAAATGTTATCTTCAAAGTGAGGAAAGAATATAATTGCAAATCTAAAGTTCACAACCAAGGAGTATAATTTTTAAGTACAGAGTAAAATAAGGACAAATTAGCCAAATGAAAATTAAGAGGTGTAAGTATATCTAAAGTACTTACAACACTGTTTAGCACATACTAAGTACTATACATGTATGTAACATACACAATCAGGTTAAAAGAACAAGATTTTTAAATTTCAATATAAAGACCTTAAAAGACAATGAAAAATGTGGATATGATATGCTGAAAGTAAAAGGGTGAAAAAATACGCCATGCAAACAAAAAAACCAGTTAAACTAAATATCAAGTTAAAAAAAAAAAAAAAAAAGATAAATAGGCCCCAAGACTCACTCTGTGCTATTTACTAAATAGAAACATATAGTTCATCCACCATATGACATATAAAAAAAAAGTTCACAGCAATACCATTCAGTTGCCAATACAGAAAACACAAACATCCATCAACACTAAAATGAATGACAACTTGTAGTATAGTCATACAATGGGGGGAAAAAACAGCCATGAAGAGTGAAGAAATCATTGCCTCACACAATAATATGGATGAACATTACAAACATCAGGATGAGCATGACGGTTCACACCTGTAATCCCAGTATTTGAGAAGGCTAAGGCAGGTAGATCACTTGAGCCCAGGAGTTCAAGACCAGCCTGGGCAACACAGTGAGACCTCATCTCTACAAAAAATAAAAATAAATTAGCCAACATGGTGGTGTGCACCTGTGGTCCTAGCTACCTGGGAAGTTGAGGTGGAAGAACTGCGTAAGCCCAGGAAGTCATCGCCACAGTAAGCCATGATCACATCACTGCGCTCAAGCCTGAGTGACAGTGCGGACCCTGTCTCAACACACACCACGCACATGCACGCACACGCACATGCACACACACACCAAAGTGAAAGAAGCCAGACACAAAACACTACATGAGAGTATGATTACATTCATAAGCTCAAAAACAGAGAAACCTAATCCAAGATGGTAAAAGTCAGGATAGTGATGTTTTAAGGGGACAGATGTTAATGGAAAGAGGGGAAAAGATCCTTCTGAGATGCTAGTTACACAAGTATTTTCACTTTGTGTAGTCTCAGAGCTAAAGATATACTTTTTGCACTTTTCTGAGTATACTTCAACAAAAAAGTTAACCAAATGGTTAAGAAAAGCTCCAGACATTTAAATTTTTTAAAGCACTTCTTAATAATCAATGAATCAAAAGAAAACAAATGTAGGATAAACAAAGTCAAAAATCACAGGTCAATCTTACAAATTTTATAATATAACATTTGAATATGTAGATAAAACTGACAAACTACATATCTTATTACCAAACCTAACTCAAGAAAGAAAAAAGAAAACTATTAAGAAAACAAAATCAAGCCGGGCGCGGTGGCTCAAGCCTGTAATCCCAGCACTTTGGGAGGCCGAGGCGGGTGGATCACGAGGTCAAGAGATCGAGACCATCCTGGTCAACACGGTGAAACCCCGTCTCTACT